TAGCCATGCAAATCTTATTTGGGCCCCAATGGTCAAATGTGCATATATACTATCTAGTTTGTAGCCCAGCTACACCTAAAATTATACAGCTTTTTTTTTTAAAGCTCGCATAAATTTCAGGCTTGTTATTCCTCAACACTGCAAGATAAGAAAACAATGGCTTATACAAACTTTTTGCGGCAAAATAACCTAATAAATTTATACTGAGTGTAAAAAAGTAAAAAATGCTTATCATGTCCATCATAAATTCAAAAGTATCCTTTTAAATGACATTATAAATGTTTTGGTTGTTAGTTGGATCACCTGAAACCAGGAAGGTGAAAAAGCTGTGCAAAGTTAGTTTTATGTTGGCCACTAGAGAGCAATTTTTATGGTAGTTTTAACCAACTTTTAGTTACCAAAACAATCCAATGGATCAAGTCAACCTATCCCAAAAGATTTATACATTAATAAATTTATATTTTTCTATGTGGCATGGGTAGGTTGTGTTGATTGATCGCTTTTGTGTTAGGAAGCCAGTTAAAAGTTCCAGAAAATTGGTATGTGTATGGCCAATATGAGACTTGGCAGTATATAAAAATGTTTATATACAAGTTTGGCCAGTTCGAACATGTTCCTATTTTAGTTATATTCAACATATCATTCAGGCACTTTTCTTTTCATAGAAATAGTGTCCTTTAATTTAGGTTGGTTGCTTCTATGTGGGGCACTATATCAAAGTACTTTAAAGTCTAAATATAAGGCATCATCCACAACACTGCAATTGAACTCGCACATTTGTATTTTTCATAGAAGGTATCAAAAACTATGAAAAGGAAAATCCTTTGCTCTAGTTGAGTTAAAGCAATACTGAGAACTGAAATTCCAATCCCGAAGTTTGCATTCATGCAATGGAATACAAACTTCTCTTTTTCTTTCCTTTTGTACACCAGGCCAAGCTTTACAAAGTTTATTTTTGTAATAATCTCCTTGCATCTATTAAACCTAAAGATAGTGGATTAAATGAGATAGTGAATACTTACCTCTCCTACTGCCTGTGCCACCAAATGCTTCTCTATTAAAGAGAAACCAGCCCCTGAGGTCTCTTCAGAAACTGACACTTCTCAGAGTGTTGATCTTCTAGTTCCTGGCCAAGCTCAATGGTTTCCACTGTCTTTTCGATGTCATAACTATGATCCAACTGTGACCAGAAGATTCATACTCCCTCAGGTGTTGGTTACTAAAAAGACTTCAAAGGACAATTTCTCCTCAGTGGAGCAGCATTTGGCGGCACACACAGCAGAAGATAATCTGATTATTATCTGTATTAAGTATTATCAGATTACAATTTCAGTTCAGAAGCAGAATAATTTTAAAGTATTCCTTTTGTGATAGATATGTTGGGCCTGCTTTTGCTGGCTTTCTTCTATAAGTGCTATTTGCCTGACTGTTATGCTGACCCTCTGGCTTCAATATCGGTTACCAAAAACAACCAGATTGGCAAGTAGGATTGAAGTCATGACTGCTTTTCTGCACACTTGTTCCGGGTTTGTATTTAAGCAGAGGGTAAGCACAACAGGCAGCTAGAAGTTTTAGGAGAGGTCAACAATGTAATCCTCCATGTTTTTCTCATAACAAGTTTTTCTACTTTTCTCTTCTGGTCCTTTTCTTAGAGTGGCCTTTCCTAAACTTGTTGGCAGGTTCCAATAATTGTCAGGACAAGGAACATTGAGGAAGTGCTTATCTACCATTAGGGGCATTGACAAAGTACCTACAGACAGAAGGGGTAAAGAGGGGGTTTTCTCTGCATATTTAGCAGACATACATTTCTTTCCCATCATCTCATTATACGTTTATGTACATACATTATTGTCACACGTTTTAGGCTCCAGTGAGAGAAATCCCAGGCCTTCTAATAGTTTTTTCCCTGAATCTACTGATTGCAATGGTATCTAAAATATCATTACAGAGAAGCTAATTATTCCATTGTAAGCCAGTTTGAAGCCAGATTCTAAGTAAAAGAGGTCATCATAGCAGAGGGTGATGCTCTGGGCACCAAGGTTGTGTGCGTTTAGGCTCCAGTGAGAGAAATCCAGGCCTTCTAATAGTTTTCTGAATCTACTGATTGCAATGGTATCTAAATATCATTACAGAGAAGCTAATTATTTCCAACTATGCACATGCAAAATAACCCACAAAACATGCACAGTTCACTGAACCTGCAGACAGGATACTTAAGTGAAATATATATAAATAGATCTACATAATGGACTGTCTAATGATCTTTTCACAAGTGAAAGTGTACGCCTAGGTTTTGCGTCCATTTCCCCTGGAGGTAGACCAACGGTACTCCAAAGCTCACAGTGTCTTCCTGGCACTTTAAACAGATTGAGAGTATAAGTTCCAAGCTCTTCACCTTATACTCTGATATTGATCTTTTCACATCTTCTGCAAGTAACAGGGGACTGGCCAGAAGTCTTAATAAAGTCTGGGTAATCACTGTAGTTACTAGATGGGAAAATCAACTCTCTTTCAGTTGCATTCAAGATGCCTTTGAAATCACCTTGAGATGCTCCTGAGCTCAATCAGTTCATTGACAGGTACTGCTGTGGCTGATAGTCTCCTGACCTGTATTTGAGCTCCTTCTAATCTTCCTCAACCTTCTTTCGCAGTCAATAAACTTGTATGGGTAGAGACAGAGCAGTTCTGATGCCCAAAGGATGATGAGACTTTTTAGGGATTATCTGAAAAAGGAAGTGGTGGTGCTCACCATGAAAAGCAAGATTAAATATGGATTGGATAACTTTCCTAACAGAAAGTGTATCTTGTGTTTCATCAATGGGGTGGTTAATCCAGCAAATTATTCTTACTGCAACTGATAGCGGCAAGAAGGAATGTTTTTCCACACAGACACATTTTACTAAAGTTTTTTTTTTCCCGGATCTAGTATAAAAACTATAGTAGAAAATAATAGATTGTGGACCTTTACTACAATGTAACTTTCAGAAAAAGCAGCAGCATTGCAGTAAAAGCAGATACAAGGACAGGGGTAAAAGGCCCCTGTTCTCGCAGTAGAAACCATTAGCCATAGGAAGAAACTTTTTGTTGACTTTGGTGGTGTGTCAACTGTTTTCTTTTAGTATGGACCATGCAGAAACAGTGGATGCAGTAGTCTGAGTGGCCTCAAGCATTACTAACCATAGGAAAGTTCGCCTGTTCCTTTTTTCAACATGCATCATTCATCATTTACTGCAATCCTCAACCTTAACCTTTGCTATGAAAGACTAACAAAACAAATAGTTAGATCTACAACCAACCAGTAAAATCAAATAAAAAGATCTAACATGCTAATGATTTTCCTATTGTTTTCCCAATGATTTTAAATATATAGCTTTTGCTAAAAAATATGTGGTGATCCAGTCCTGAAGGTCTTTGTTCAGGTATTTACTGTAATGACAACTGTCACCCAATTGAGATCCTGTGTTGTTACCATGTCACATGTGTCCTTGGTGGAGACTACATTTGCTCATGCCAACATACAATGCACAGCTGAGATAGGTTGTTGAACCTATCAGGAAGCCATTCCAAGGCAATGATGATGGTGACACAGGAGCAAGTGCATGCTGGCATAAATGAAAATACTGTAAATCAGCAAAACTGAGCTATAAAAAGGATGGAAAATGTGAAAACAATATTTTATTAAAAATATACACTGCAGTTGTTTAAGATGCACTGTGCTTTAGTAAATTCATAGTAATTCATCCCCCATATAGTAATTCATCCCCCATATAGTAATCAATCCCCCATATAGTAATTCATCCCCCATATAGTAATTCATCCCCCATATAATAATTCATCCCCCATATAGTAATTCATTCCCCATAGTAATTCATCCCCCATATAGTAATTCATCCCCCATAGTAATTTATCCCCCCTATAGTAATTCATCCCCCATATAGTAATTCATCCCCCTTATAGTAATTCATTCCCCATATTAATTCATCCCCCATATTAAGTCCCCAAGTCCCCCCTGTGTCAATTCACTTACCTTTGCTCCACGCGTTCCTCTCGCCGTGTTCCCGCGCTGTTCCGGTGTAGCATGAAAATCTGTCTCCTATGAGGATCTGTCCCCCTCGACGTATCTGTGCATGTGTCAGTTTCAGGCATTAGCAGCCGATCGGCGATCTCCGGCACATGCGCAGATACGTCGGGGGACAGATCCTCATAGGAGACAGATTTTCATGCTACACCGGTCTTCAGGGCGGACTGTGAGAGGAGCCTAGCTCCCCTCACGTTCTCCGCGGGCCGGATTAAAAGGTCCGCCGGGCCGTAGTTTGCCCATTGCTGGTCTAGATCTACTTTAAAAAGACCTTCACTACACTAAACACAAACATGCTCATCTCTCCATGTTCTTGCACAAAGATGTTCCCAGGGAGACAGAGAAAAGCTATAATGGGGGCAGCCAGCTAAATGAATTAAAGGAAATGGCAGAAATTAACTATTTCTATGGCCTTGCACTACTCCAGTCCTAAGGTCTCAATCCTGTCCAGTGTGATGCCCAATGCTTGGGCATAAATGTGTGTTATGTCACACATTGATGCAGAACTAAACTCTCTCAATCAACAATAACTATCTTTAATCTTTATACTGCTTGCCTTAGTAAACAGATGGAAAGGTATATTATATTTACCGTACTTGTTTTAAACTTTTGATTTATCAACAGAATAAAGTGTGGAGACATGGATAGATTGCTGTGAATATTAAAATGAATAGAAAACTTTATGAAAATAAAGTTGGTATGTGGCAGATGTTTGGGCTCACCTGCAGTTTTTGATTTATTATAAAGGCAGCAAAGTCAGCTAGAGCATATGTGGACACTTAACGTGTAAAACAACCCATTCAGTTAAAAGGTAAAACATTTGGGTGTTATTTATATACTATATTGCCAAACGTATTGGGGCACCCCTCCAAATCATTGGATTCAGGTGTTCCAATCACCTCCATGGCCACAGGTGTATAAAATCAAGCACCTAGGCATGCAGACCGCTTCTACAAACATTTGTGAAAGAATGGGTCACTCTCAAGAGCTCAGTGAATTCAAAAGTGGTACCATGATAGGTTGCCACCTATGCAATAAATCCATCCGTGAAATTTCCTTGCTACTAAATATTCCACGGTCAACTGTTAGTGGTTTTATAACAAAGTGGAAGAAACTGGGAACAACAGCAACTCAGCCACGAAGTGGTAGGCCACGCAATATGACAGAGCGGGGTCAGCGCATGCTGAAGTGACAGTGCACAGAAGTTGCCAACTGTCTGCAGAGTCAATAGCTAAAGACCTCCAAACGTTGTGTGGCCTTCAGATTAGCATAACAACAGTGCATATAGAGCTTCATGGAATGGGTTTCCATGGCTGAGCAGCTGCATCCAAGCCTTACATCACCAAGTGCAATGCAAAGCGTTGGATGCAGTGGTAACTGGACTCTAGAGCAGTGGAAATGTGTTCTCTGGAGTAACCAATCACGCTTCTCTGTCAGGCAATCTGATGGATGTGTCTGGGTTTGGCGGTTGCCAGAAGAACAGTACTTGCCTGACTGCATTGGGCCAAGTGTAAAGTTTGATGAAGGGGGGATTATAGTGTTGGGTTATTTTTCAGAGGTTGGGCTTGGCCCCTTAGTTCCAGTGAAGAGAACTTTTAAGGCATCAGCATACCAAGACATTTTGGACAATTTTATGCTTCCAACTTTGTGGGAACAGTTTGGGGATGGCCCCTTCCTGTTACAACATGACTGCGCACCAATGCACAAAGCAAGGTCCATAAAGACATGGATGAGCAAGTTTGGGGGGGGGACTTGACTGGCCTGACAGAGTCCGGACTTCAACCCGATAGAACACCTTTGGGATGAATTAGAGCGGATACTGCGAGCCAGTCCTTCTCATCTGACATCAGTGCCTGACCTTACAAATGCGCTTCTGGAAGAATGCTCAAATTTCCATAGATACACTCCTAAACCTTGTGAACAGCCTTCCCAGAGGAATTGAAGCTATTATAGATGCAAAGGGAGGGCCAGACTCAATTTTAAACCCTGCGGACTAAGACTGGGATGCTATTAAAGTTCATGTGAGTGTAAAGGTAAAGGCAGGCGTCCCAATATTTTTGGCAATATAATGTATATAAACTGCTCAAAAACATTAAAGGAACACTTTTTAATCAGAGTATTGCATCAAGTCAATTAAATTCCTGGGATATTGATCTGGTCAGTTAAGTAGCAGAGGGGGTTGTTAATCAGTTTCAGCTGCTTTGGTGTTAATGAAATTAACAACAGGTGCACTAGATGGACAACAATGAGACAAACCCCAAAACAGGAATGGCTTTACAGGTGGAGGCCACTGACATTTTTTTCCCTACTCATCTTTTCTGACTGTTTTCACTAGTTTTGCACTTGGCTAGAGTCAGTGTCACTACTGATAGCATGAGGCATTACATGGACCCTAAAGAGGTTGCACAGGCAGTCCAACTCCTCCAGGATGGCACATCAATACATGCCATTGCCATTGCCAGAAAGTTTGCTGTCTCTCCCAGCACATTCTCAAGCGCATGGAGGAGATTCCAGGAGACAGGCAGTTACTCTGGGAGAGTTGGACAGGGCCATAGAAGGTCCTTAACCCATCAGCAGGACCGGTATCTGCTCCTTTGTGCAAGGAGGGACAGGATGAGCACTGTCAGAGCCTTACAAAATGACCTCCAGCAGGCCACTGGTGTGAATGTCTCTGACCACAACAATCAGAAACAGACTTCATGAGGGTGGACTGAGGGCCCAACATCCTCTAGTGGGCCCTGTGCTTACTGCCAGGCACCAGTGCTCGATTGGAATTTGCCAGTGAACTCCAAAATTGGCAGGCCTTCCACTGGCACCCTATGCTTTTCACAGATGAGAGCAGGCTCTCCTTGAGCACATGTGACAGACGTGAAAGGGTCTGGAGAAGCCTTGGAGAATGTTATGCTGCCTGTAACATCATTCACCATGACCGTTTTGGTGGTGGGTCAGGGATGATTTAGGGAGGCATATCCATGGACGGACGCATACACCTCTACAGGCTAGACAATGGCACCCTGGCTGCCATTAGGTATCGGGATGAAATCCATAGACCCACTGTAAGACCTTACACTGGTGCAGTGGGTCCTGGGTTCCTCCTGGTGCACAACAATGCCTGGCCTCATGTGGTGAGAGTATGCAGGCAGTTCCTGGAAGATGAAGGAATTAATACCATTGAATGGCACCCACGTTCACCTGACCTAAATCCAATAGAACACCTCTGAATACAAGCACATGGGGACCATACAAACTACTGAGTACCATTTTTTTTTATTAATAATATTTTATTAAGTTTTACATTTTATCTCTTCCATCAATTAAAATTTCGACATAACTTATTCCAATATTTTACCCAACATACAAAAAATACAAACTCTCCCTTCCCCCCTCTCTATCCCACCCCTTGCCTTCCCCTCCCTCCCCCCCACCCCCCACCTCCACCTCTCAGCAACATTTCTCTCTCTTTTGGAATCCTAGGGTATTCATACATTCTTCTATCTTATACAATTTCAGTTAGTTTAACCTTCTTGAACTCCTCCCACTGTTACCATTTCTCATGAAAACACTCCACTTTATCCTCATCTATATGGTATGATTCTTCCATCCTTTATATATCGTGTCTACCTTTTTAATCCAAGTTGGCGCTTCCTGTTCCATCCAGAATTTTGCATTCTGCTTTGCTGCATTAATATAGTGCAATAACCCAGAATTTTTATACCTTTCAACCATTAACTCTGTTCTATGAAAGAGACATACCCCTGGTTCCTTTAAAATTTTTATCCCAGTTATTTCTTGTGTCAAGTGAAGTACTTCTTCCCAATATTTTTGGATTTTGTGACAAAATGTGACCTACTGTGCCCTACTTAATGCATAGTCTGCTTGAAAGGGTATATACCAGTGTGCAGAGGGTCCTGCAGAATTTCTACTGTGCCCTTTTCCCCGCAACCCCTCCAACAAAAAGATGATTTATCCCTATTTTGTTTGTGTACTATGTTTAGTGTCATATACCACCTCGCCAAGCATTTATAATTCATATCCACCTCTTTCATGCTCACATTACTGTGTGTTAACTTGTAAATCTTTTTTTTGTTTATATTCCCCTATTGTTATTCCTAATTCTCTTTCCCATCTCTCCATATATGCCTGTACCGTATCTGTTGCTAACTTAGTAAGAATTTTATATACAGGTGAAACTCGAAAAAATTAGAATATCGTGCAAAAGTTCATCTATTTCAGTAATGCAACGTAAAAGGTGAAACTAATATATGAGATAGACTCATTACATGCAAAGCAAGATAGTTCAAGCCGTGATTTGTCATAATTGTGATGATTATGGCTTACAGCTCATGAAAACCCCAAATCCACAATCTCAGAAAATTAGAATATTACATGCAATCAATAAAACAAGGATTGTACATAGAACAATATCGCACCTCTGAAAAGTATAAGCATGCATATGTACTCAGTACTTGGTTTGGGCCTCTTTTGCACAAATTACTGTCTCAATGCGGCGTGGCATGGAAGCTATCAGCCTGTGGCACTGCTGAGGTGTTATGGAAGACCAGGACGCTTCAATAGCGGCCTTCAGCTCTTCTGCATTGTTTGGTCTCATGTCTCTCATCTTTCTCTTGGCAATGCCCCATAGATTCTCTATGGGGTTCAGGTCAGGCAAGTTTGCTGGCCAATAAAGCACAGTAATCCCACGGTCATTAAACCAGGTTTTGGTGCATTTGGCAGTGTGGGCGGTGCCAAGTCCTGCTGGAAAATGAAGTCAGCATCCCCATAAAGCTCGTCTGTGGAAGGAAGCATGGAGTGCTCCAAAATCTCCTGGTAGACGGCTGCATTGACCCTGGACTTAATGAAGCACAGTGGACCAACACCAGCAAATGACATGGCTCCCCAAACCAACACAGAGTGTGGAAACTTCACACTGAACTTCAAGCATCTTGCAGTGTGTGCCTCTCTATTCTTCCTCCATAATCTGGGTCCTTGGTTTCCAAATGAGATGCAAAAGTTGCTCTCATCAGAAAAGAGGACTTTGGACCACTGAGCAACAGACCAGGTCTGTTTTTCTTTAGCCCAGGTAAGACGCTTCTGATGTTAGTTGTTGTTCAGGAGCGGCTTGACAAGAGGAATACGACATTTGAAGCCCATGTCCAGGATCCGTCCTGTGTATGGTGGCTCTTGATGCACTAGTTCCAGCCTCAGTCCACTCCTTGTGAAAGTCCCCAACACTTTTGAATGGCCTTTTCCTGACAATCTTCTCCAGGCTTCAGTCATCCCTGCTGCTTGTGCACCTTTTTCTTCCACACTTTTCCCTTCCACATAACTTTCTATTAATGTGCTTTGATACAGCACTTTGGGAACATCCAACTTCTTTTGCAATTACCTTTTGAAGCTTTCCCTCCTTATGGAGGGTGTCAATGATGGTTTTTTGCTCAACTGTCAGGTCAGCAGTCTTTCCCATGATTGTGATTCCTACTGAACCAGACTGAGAGACCATTTAAAGGCTCAGGAACCCTTTGCAGGTGTTGTGGCTTAATTAGCTGATTAGATTGGGACACTTTGAGCCTAGAATATTGCACCTTTTCACAATATTTTAATTTTCTGAGATTGTGGATTTAGGGTTTTCATGAGCTGTAAGCCATAATCATCTCAATTATGACAAATCACGGCTTGAACTATCTTGCTTTGCATGTAATGAGTATATCTCATATATTAGTTTCACCTTTTAAGTTGCATTACTGAAATAAATGAACTTTTGCACGATATTCTAATTTTTTGAGTTTCACCTGTATTTTCGTAGTTCCATGTTTCCTATCTCCCCATGTACTAAACAAATTTTCAAATGGGTTCCGTTGTTCTTTTTTCCTTAGGGGCCTAGGAAGTTTTTTTTTCTATGAAATGTTTTATTTGTAGATACCGCCACTCATCTACTTTAATGAAAAGCTCTCTCTTCTTCTTCAATTCCACTAAGGGGCAAATTTCCACATCTTTCGTTAGATCTCTTAATTGAGCATCTCCCTTCCTTATCCATCTCCCTGCTATCTTTTCATTCCCCGGTGGAAAAAAACCTGTGTGTAACGGACCACCCAACAGCACCTCTATCAGTCCCCTGATAGAGCCTCTCCAGAGTGCGGAGTCTAAGTTCCGGAGCACTTGTTCACCAGGGCCCCTGATGGTGGGGATGGACTTGGAGCACCCCGGGACCAGGTCGCAGCTACCGGATATCTCTATCAGTGGTAGAGGAGTCTGCCGGAGGCTCCTGCAGGGTGAGAGTCTGATGTGAGGGGACCCGGGGATCCCTGAGGGATGGATGGATGGATGGAGGAATGAGCAAGGGCAGAGTCAAACAAGCCGTGTCGGTAGCCGGTGGGGTCGGTGCGATACAACACAGTAGGCAAAGAATGGTCGGGTCACACGCTGGGTCAATAACAGGAGATCAAATCTAAAGGGGAACATCCAGGAGCAGAGTGAGGGGTCAGGACAGGAGAAGGCAGCTAGGTCAGACAATCTGGATCA